ATGCTCAAATAAATTTGTTAGTCTCTAAGGTGCCACAAGTACTCTTTTTCTTTTTGCGAATACAGACTAACATGGCTACTACTCTGAAACCTGTCATTATTTTTTTAATGAGCGTCATCAGTATGGAAGCATGTCCTCTGCAATGGTCGGCAAAGCATGATGGGGCTTATGAATGTTTAATATATCTTATGACTTGTATTTGTGGATAATCTATGTACTATACCCAGATGTACAGACACTCTTTTCTTAACCTGTGTACTATATAATTGTTTAACATTAGCTTTAATAACATTTTTATAGCTGGCACGTAAATACCTTGCAACACTGACTACAAAAGTTCCATGTGAATGCCTGTTCTCACTTTCTGGTGACATGGTAAATAAGAAGTAGGCAGCATTATCTCCCATAAATGTAAACAAACAAGTTTGTCTGAGTGATTGGCTGAACAAGAAGTAGGACTGAGTGAACTTACAGCAGTGGTGGGCAACCTGCAGTCCATCAGGGTAATCCGCTGGCGGGCCGCCAGACAGTTTGTTTCCATTTGCACGGCCGCTCGCAGCTCCCAGGGGCCTCAGTTTGCCATTCCCGGCCAATAGGAGCTGCAGGAAGCGGTGAGAGCCTCAGGGATGTGCTGGCCACTACTTCCCACAGCTCCCATTGGCCGGGAATGGTGAACCACAGTCACTGGGAGCTGTGGGCAGCCGTGCAAATGTAAACAAACTGTCTGGCACCCTGCCAGCAGATTACTCTAACGGGCTGCGTGCAGCCCACGGACCGCAGGTTGCCCACGACTGACGTATAGGCTCTAAAGTTTTACATTGTTTTGTTTTTGAGAGCAGTATGTAACAAAAAAAATCTACATTTGTAAATTGCACTTTCACGATAAAGGGATTGCACTACAGTACTTGTACGAGGTGAATTGAAAAATACTATTTCTTTTATTTATCATTTTAAAGTGTATATAAAATAATGAAATAAAAAATAACAATATAAAGTGAGCAGTGTACACTTGTATTCTGTGTTGTAACTGAAATCAATATGTTTGAAAATGTAGAAAAACATCCAAAGTATTTAATAAATGTCAATTGGTATTCTATTGTTTAACAGTGCAATTAAAACTGCAATTAATCATGATTAATTTTTTAATTGCAATTCATTTTTTTTGTTAATCGCGTGATTTAACAGCGGTTAGTTGACAGCCCTAATTTATATTTTATAAACACTGAAATCGTCCACAGGTTCTGTAGGATATTTGAAAATGCTCTCTGCTATCTGAAGCTTGCATGTGTGCAGGGTTCCATTTTAAAAGGGGGCAGTCTTTACGATAATATTTCTGTGCTTGCAGATGGAAATGTCCCTTACTTCCTAGAATGAGCATCTTAAACCATTCACATTATAGAAATGTGCTCCACCATCTGCTATTCATTCAGATACCTGAAAAATAAATGGAAGCGGGAGGTTAGGTTGATCACTTGCCTTTGAGAGTAATTGGAAAGCACTTTGCACACTCTTTAAAAATGACAACAAAACCCACTGACAAGCTAGAACATGGCATGAGGCATGCACAGTCACGTTGCAATCTGCCATTATGCAATACAGTGTAATTAATCTCCCTGCCTGTCTCCCCCAAAAGTAAATCTGACTGGTTCATTCAAATCATTTTGTTGCTGTGGCCGGTTTGCTTTGTTTTGGCGTGACTGCAAGACTCACCTTTACCCAAAAAGAGAGGATTGTTTGAAGCCAGCTTGCTACAAGCCAAACTACTGAAGGGTAACGCATCTCTCAAAATTACCTTAAAAGAAGGAAATCCCCAGAAGTAGCTTCTCCTCAAATTGCATAGGGCAGTGATGCTGATACAAAGAACAAACCTAAGCAGGCATAGTTTAAGGTGAGAATTTGTAAATCAAGATACACGGGTGGGGGGGGCGGAGCTAAGGGGAAAAAACCTGCTCCCTGACAAAAAGGGTGAGTTTGAGAAGTCTCTAAGAATGAGAAGTTTGAGAAGTCTCTAAGAATGTTATGATGTTAATTTAAAATGATATTCCAAGAACAGAAGATTTTCATCAATAAGGTATTGCTGTGCGGACTCCCTGTACTGACTCCTTTATATTTGGAAAGGATGTGTAGAACTCAGCAGGCAACAGGAGCCATGTGGATGGTAAGGTTTTTCAAGGTTTTTAAGGTTTTTCAAGCCTGTGGATTTTGAAAAGATATCATTGAGTATACACAGACTAAAGCAGGAAGAAGGAATGAGGTGTGTAGTGTGTGTTCCTGAAAAGGACAATCAAGAACGAGAACAGATATTGGCTATGGAAATGGAAGCTTCTTGCTTTCCCTATTGTCACCTCCCATGTCTTCTTGTGAAATACACCAGTGGGTGCTATTATAGTTATGTTACGAAAAAGAGAATTCAGAGAGCATGTTGATGGGCATGGTACATGAACCTGAATAGTACAGACTAGAAACACTGTTCCTCAGATGTTCTTGTCAACTGCTGGAAATGGCCCACCTTGATTATCACTACAAAAGGTTCCCTCCTCCCCCACTCTCCTGCTGGTAATAGCTCACCTTAAGTGATCACTCTCCTTACAGTGTGTATGGTAACACACATTGTTTCATGTTCTCTATGCATATAAATCTCCCCATTGTATTTTCCACTGAATGCATCCGATGAAGTGAGCTGGAGCTCACGAAAGCTTATGCTCAAATAAATTTGTTAGTCTCTAAGGTGCTACAAGTACTCCTGTTCTTTTTGCGAATACAGACTAACACGGCTGCTACTCTGAAACAACTTCAGGTGTAGTTTAGTGGTTAGAGAATGGGATTAAGAGTCAAGATTCCTGGGTCCTATTCCTGATCCTCCTTTTGACTCATTGGCTGACCTTGTGCAAATCACTTAGGGCCTGATCCTACAAGTCCACCAGAATTTTGCACATGGAGCAATTGCACATTCCACCAAACTACCTGTCTGTGCCTCAATATATCTTTATATAACAGATCTAATAAAGGGTTGTTTTGCCAATTATTTCAATAGGCCTAATATAAGTGCTGTGAATTTCATTCAGTGTTTATAAAATGCTTTATGATTACAATAGAAGTCTAGACAATCAACATACTTTTGATGCTTAGTTTCAGAGAAAATATCCCTGAATTTTCAAAGCCGCTGTTCTAAAATAGCTTAATCTTGTTCTTTTTTTGTTGTTGTTCCACTTATTCTTAACCTCAAGTTTTGTTTTTAATAATCCTTTGCAGTAAATAAGCAAGATGCATATTATCAACCAAGAGGAAAAACAAGGTAGAGGAAAGAAAATACATTCTTTACATGCACAATTAAAATGAAGACCACATGGAAATGGTCATCCATTAAAATCCACAGTTTGTAAATATTTTTAAGGAATAAATTATCAGTAAAAAGAGGAAGGAGGAAAGGAATAATTACCATTATATGTCTCAGAGAGTGTTTTTCCATTAGCCATAATTAATACAGTAATGATAAATTAAAGTTATGACTCATTTCACATGTATTGGAAAGAAACATTAAATAAAAGACAAGAAAAAGAGAAGAGGAAGAAAAGGATAACTAAGCATAATAATTAATATATTCCTGATTCAGTGTCATCTCTGAACTGCCCAGGCCTCATGGTTTTTGTTTTTATTTAATTAATTTATAACAATTTAGCCAACGCGTTCAGGAAAAGAGGCTGGTAACAATATTGACCTTCAGGTCACGTACACAGCCTCGTTCTGCATTACTAATAGCCCTTATACCTCAGTGCTAGAAGGCTTGTTCTTGAATACTAGGGGAATTTCATGACTGTTTTCAGTGAGCTCAGAATTTGGCCCTTTTTAGTCCACGGGAGTTTTGGGACCATAAGGAAGGCGGGATTTTGCAAAAGGAGTAACTGGGTTCTGTGAGGTTATCAAATGCCTGTATACACTGAAAGTGTACAGGCACTTTTCTTTTTTGTGTTTTATTAAATATTTAGTATTGTTTATTATCTTATCAGTCATAAGTTTTTACCAAGTCAATAATAAAATGCCCCATAAATCCAATATATCCTTTTCTGAGCCTTATAACAGATCACAATTTCTCCCCGCATACACTTAATTCCAAGTATATGCTAATGTAAAAAACACGACTTTTGAAATGACCACTTGCCTCTTAAATGCATTTCTTTTGCAATAGGAAGCAACTTCATTAGAAACAAACACCTTCACCAGACCTCCTGCATACCTCTCCCAATGCAGAAGCCAAAAAAAAAAGGTGTGGTCAAGCCAATTGCAAAATAATAATAATATTTGATGGACAAATATATCAGCTGTCAGGGAGGGGGACAGATGAGTCTGCTTACTGACTGCTATTGACTTCATGGGGCTAATAAAGCGAGATGCAAATAAAAATTAAGGGGAACAGAGTCTCGCCCTGAGATTGCATGACGTAGCCCTTTTCTGTTTATATAACATTGTGATTAAATATGGTGGGTCCCTCAGGGAGGGAATTTTTGATGTGAAGGTTAAGCCAATATTAGCAAAAAAAAGTGAATCAAATGGCCCAGAGCATCACAGCCACAGTCGATTCCAAGAATGTTTGGTTACAAAATGAGCAACTGACTAATTGTGTAAATGCTGTTAATTAGCTGTGCAGAGCCCCTAACTGGGCTTTTCCCTGTAACTAATAAGAAATCAATTAGCTAATGAAGTGGCCATTAAATGCTATGCTAATCTTATCGGGGGTATTTTTAATGTTTCTTCTTTTTTTTTTCCCTTTATGATCCTTCCTAATTGCCACTGCCATACGGAGCTCACAGCTTTCAGCATGTCTAATGAAACATCATTATATCATAACTGGCATTCTTGGAAGAGTTAGTGGCAAACCTGCTTCCCAATTATTTTTAATTGCCAGACATACTCATAACTGGGCCTTTTACCAAGTAGTTCACAGCCCTGCACTGTCATGTAATATATACAAAGATTGTGTTTTCTTTACTTTGCATATGAAGGTTGGATGCAGCATTGGCCACGATGAAGAATGCACGTTGCAACCTAAACAAGAAACCAGAAAGCAATTGCCTTTTCTTTGCCTTTGCCTGGAGCGTGTGGAGTCTCAACATTGCCTTCTCACTGAGCCGTTAAAACTAGACAAGTCTCAAGGAGGTTTTACTTCTGTTTGAAAACTTCAGTGGTATGCACACTTTATTTTAAAGTACCATTTAAATTTTGGGTGTTTAGGAAGAAATGCCATAGGATTAGCAACTGTATAGTGTAAATGTCTTCAGTAATTCTCACAAGTTTGGTTACTTCCTAAAATAATTGATTAGCAACATTGCCATAAATTCCACTTCAGAGAAAGCATAAAATGTATCTTTTTTTGCAAAACGTGCGTGTTTCCATGATCACTATTGTCACGTTAATATAGCTCTTTATAAGGAGGTTGAGGTGAGATGCAATCCTGTAGTAATTCTATCTTGTACACTGCCCCCATGGCTAATATTTCTCATTTACCAACCCAACATCTCATAAGAGAATCATATTGAAACCCTGAATCTAAATGAACTTCTCTAAATCTACTTGTGCTGAAGTAGGTTATGTGTCAGGATTAGACTAGCTTGCTTTCTCTCTGCTCCCCTTTCCTCGCCCCCCACCCCTTTTCACAGTACAATAGTATCCAGGACATCTGTGCACAAAAACAGTGGCCTTTTTTTTTTAAAAGAATGTTTTCAAAAGAGATTCTTGTCTTCCATTTCCCCCACCCACCTCAATCCTTTTTTTTTTTTTTTTGATAACATGCAAATTGAATTGGTTAATTCTGCACCTCAGGTTTCAGGAAATCTGCCACCAGCAGCTGCCACTGTTTCAGATGTCAGGCGGATGCAGACGCACTGTGACATTTTGTTCATTAAATAAACAAACCAGGTTCACGCTAACAACATTAGGTAGAAAGCCCCATCAATTCTTGTACATTTAGTTCACATAATAGGAAGTGACAATTGTTCCTTAGCTTCATAAGCACTATATTGAAGAACAAAAGGGAGGTAAGAAAACCCACACATAATGTGGCAACAGCAACAACAGTTTGCCATAAAATCCTGGAAGGTTGATTTAGATTAATGAGACGCATAACTTTTTGCCCAAGGCTACTTTAAATAAATATGGCTACGAACATGGCTACTAAGGGGAAGAAAAAATTGTCATAATTCTCTTTTCTTACGTAAGGCCTTGGTCTTGTTTATTTGAGTTGACTGTCAAATCAGAAATATTCAACAACAGTAGCCCTTATATAGATGAATGAAATAGGTCTGCCCAGTGCTGTAGAGAGAAAAGAAAAGGAAAAGCCTTTCCATACTTCATAATGGAATAATATTTTACGATAAAATGTGACTCAGTATGTTTACATTAAGTGAAACAGATATAAATTTTAAAAACCTAAATCAAAAAGTCACAGGCCAACCTGAATGCCTTTAAAAGTCCAGGATATCCAGCTATTCAGAATGGCTACATTTCTGACTTTTCCATCAATTTGGAACCTAGAAAATAAAAAAGTTAAAAATCCCAAGACATGAAGTCTAGTTTTGTAATTAAGCATCTTATAATACAACAGCCACGAAAACTGGAAATTCCGTAGTAATGCATGTAAAAAGAGAGAGGCCTGTCTTAAAATCAGACCATCCTAAGGCTTGGAAATCATAGATTAGGCTGTCAGTCAGACTTAGTCTGAAAGGTATAGACAATAGGAAAAAAATCCTTGCACATTAATATGTATAGAACCATGATGTAGCTTTTTATATTCCAAAGGGGCTTCAATAACTCCATGGGGGGAAAGACAGCCAAACCTGGGACTGGATCCTGGAAATCCTTACTCACATCTGGATTCTGAATGATATTACTTGGGTGAGTAAAGGTTGCAATGTGTGCACCATCAAGAGTTTTACACCTTCTCTTCCCCAAGTAGCTGTCTGGCTTAGGTTTTCTATAGCATCTGTAAATTTGAGGAATTCTACTACAGAGCGTAGGCCACATTCTCACCTGATGTAAAGCAGCACTGAAGTCAGTGGAAATGCACTAATCCAAACTACCCCAGGAGGCTTATAGATTCATAGATATTAAGGTCAGAGGGACCATTATGATCATCTCGTCTGACCTCCTGCACAACGCAGGCCACAGAATCTTACCCTCCCACTCCTGCGAAAAACCTCTCACCTATGTCTGAGCTATTGAAGTCCTCAAATCGTGGTTTAAGAAGCAGAGAATCCTCCAGCAAGTGACTTAGTGTGCTTCATGTTGTAAATGGATTGTACACGGGCATAAGATATATTATGAAACATATATACAGTCTTGTTAATATGCAAGTTGTCTACCTGACTCCAAATGCTACTTTTCATCTATAATTTTTATATATGCCCCCATAAAACCACAAATATTCTGTACTTAACAAGGCTGGTATACTATTACTGTTCTGATGGACTTAGTTGTAATCTAGTGTATCTTTTGTTAGAGTCAGTAGATTCCTTATGTTATATTATTGTAATATTTATAGTATATGTTATTTACTTATGACAGATTAATAGTAATCCTCAATGTATATGTGAATATCATTTCTTCACTGGATTTGTGTTGTAGTCATATTCTTCTAGCAGTGGGCCCCATTCTCTTATATGAATAAATAATCCACCTGGGGAGGAAAAATTCCACTACTTTCAATTTGGTGAATTGAAGAGAATTTCTCCAACCAAAGAGAGTAGGAATCCCCTACAGAAGAAGCAAGGAGTGCTAATCCCAAAACCCACAATTCCATTATGATCTTCTTCGACCCTGTAGATGACCCTGGCCATTACACTGCTATCTTGCCCAACCAGCTTCTACTGGACCTGGAGAAAGAATGGTTCTCATAGGAGCCATGCTGCCAGGGGCTTTCACCTTACAGCTGTTTCGTGAAGCCCCCTAAATAAAGGGTCTGCAATGCAGAGAGGGAAGCCACATAAGTTGGTACAATGTTAGGCTGTACCAACTTGCACCAGCTTCTGCTGTGAGTTTGGAGGGGATAGGAGAATCCAGGAATGCCCAGGGCTCTCTCTCCTGATCCCACCCACCCTGATACGCCCCTCTTCGTCTGTGGAGTTCTGCAGTGCCCCCATGGAGAGGCTTCTGTTAGGTCAGAGGAAGGGCAACATGCTACCTAGGAGAAATCCCCACCTACCACATGCACAGGCTGCCTCCATCCACGGGCATGAGGGAAGCATTGGGGCTTTCAATACCATTAGAATCGCAGACTCATACATGATTCTAAATGCCAGAAATAATATTCCTCTCCTGCATTGTAAGTATATGATTGGCATAGTGAACAGTAATGTAGAATTGTCCAGTTGGTTTGGTTGAAGGCCCCATACTATAAGCTAAGGAAATATTGTATGTCCTTCTAGATGGAGGCCCAAGTGGAAGAATGGTTTTGCAAAACCTTTAGGCAGAGCCACAAACTTATACCATGCTCTACACCTTCCTACTACTGCATCTTGCTCTACATATATCATTCTGCCAATCAGAAGCACATAGTTATTTTTCAGCAAATAGTTTATCTAATACATGGAGCTAGATATATGTATCTGATTCTGACCACAACACACCTAATATGATTCCTATTAATTTTCTTACCTGGAAGTACACTGGTCAGTTTCCCAGCAGACATTGTCATTATCCAAAGCATATTTAAGCCTCTGCTTAAAAATAAAACAGTCCCACAGAATAATTTTATTTCACTGGCATGTGTGAAACATGGCACAAAATAATAGCATGCCAACTCACATTTCACATAGGCAGCTTCCATTACAGAGTATTCACTTACACATTTAAAAAAAACAACCCATTTTATTCACCCCAGTGGTTCCAAATGAATTGTCTTGTACATTTCTCAGTTTATTCATTTAGTTAGGGATGTTTCTTTTCTTTTAAAAGGTAGAGTGCTGGTTTGAGAAAATAAGTGCTGCTTTTCTTTACATAACATAAAGAACAACAGAGAAGGCTTATATCTGTCATAGTTGAAAACACTATATTTATGTCTCCATTTAATCCACTCATTGCTTTACAGACCCAAAGTCCTCTGGGGAGTGTCACAAATCTATAAAATGTTCCTGAGTGCTACATTTTGCATTTCGATCTCTGAATTGGTTGACAGATGAGAAAATACACATTCACCCAGCCAGCTCCCTAATGACTACAGATGTGTGGATGCTGAAGTGTGCAAGTCATTCCAGTTCAGGTTGGCAGTAACTTTAATTCAATTTTGTTTTACCTCTGATCTGCATTTTTCTGATGGTGTAATCTGCCTTAGCTTTGTATTTTTATTATTTCACCCACTTTTCGGTCAGACCACAGCACATTTTGGGGGTACTCCCAACACAAAGACTCATGGCATATAAATTTGGAGATCCATCCTTTTTGAGAATGGCAGCATGTGGTACAAGTGGAGCTGAAATTTTGTCATAAACTGATACATATAATGATGCCACGTTTCAGAGAGCCACAGTGCATCTCTGATGACATTATATTGGCTTAACTGTATACTGCATTTATGTGTGCTATCAGGGCCTGATCCAAAGGCCACCGAAGTCAATAGAAGTATTTTCATTGACCTCAAAGAAGTCTGGATCAGGCCCTAGGAGCATGTGCTCTTCAGTGTTCTCAAATACTGCATATTACGGGGATCTATGATCCTTTCTAATTCTTCAAGTGGAAGAGAACTGGATGGGGTGGTCCAGAGATGCAGAATGCCACATCCATGGCATTCTTATATTTCCCTCACAATTGCGCAAAAGCCCCTCTACCGAGTTCTCGGTTGACATGGGAATAAATTATAATCTACAAAGGGGAGAATTTGCCCTGTAAATTCTTAAATCATTAGAATTAAATTGTGGAATGAGGTGACATTTATAGTCAAACTAAATGAAATCAGACTTCTTCCTCAAACTGCACCTAATTCATTCCATCCACGAGAAGGGGAACACACGAAACCTGAAAGGGTGGAGAAAGCAGAAGATCTGGCACAAGCGGTTGTATTTATATGTAATGAAATCTTGGAAAAATAAAAAGTGGGAGTAAGAACTACCCCTAAGCAGCTTTAATTTGCATGACCATCATTTACTGTGCACCTCATTCTAGAATATACTAACCTTGGCAGACTTTTAAAGGTCATGTTTATAAAAGATGAACTGATTTGAAGAAATTCTCTGTGTAGGCACTAGATGATTTGTCTTCAAGAGAAAACACATATGTCCTTGTCTTTCCAACTATTTTCTTTTCAGAATTATTCAAAAAGGACAGAAGATGGCCTCAAACTATCATTTACTATTTTTCCCCTCAGTCCTCAAACCATGCAGCACACCTTGGGCCCCTTCATGGCATGGAAGGATTGGGATTTGCATCCATTAGAACTAGACCATGAACTTCACTCACGCACAGTAGCAGTAACTGATAACACACAGTCTGGGTGAATACCATCTGTACAATGCAATAACATGGTGGTAACACAGAATTGTTTTGATTTTACTGATATGCACTACTTTGTTAAAGGAGGAAGGATCTCCCATGATAAATAATGATTTACAAAATGAAGTGAATTCAAAGCGCACAAAGCACACAAAGAAGGGTAAACACCATGGTGTAAAATGGGGCACACTTTTGGGGCATTCCCAGTAGAAAAGTAACCATTATTCTGAGTGACATTCCCAACAAACAGTCAAAGGAAAAATAAGCCTTTTGAACAGGGTACATGAAAGCCATGAATCACTAGTGTCTCAATGACAAGCAGATGGCCTTCCATCCATCCTCCCATCATCAGATCTCTGTATGACTGAAATCACGTGAGCAAGGGCCATGCCAAAACTTGTCACATTTACTCTTAACAAAACATAAGCATTTACAACTCTTCATAAACATTTTTGATGGAAGTACATATTCTTCAAAAGGCAGTACTATAAAATTCCCTTCATGAACCAACTCCCAGAATTCTAAGGACACTGAACAGTCTTTAAAACCCACTCCTTCCTGGGAGCCATCTATTAAGGGATGAAGAATAAAGAGGTGAAGAATACCAACAATGATTTTCATCATGGAATTTATGTTGTTTAGAGTATGTGAGTAAATGAGTTAGTCACTGTGGCTGAAGGGCTGCACAAGGCCTTATGCCCTCAAAATAGGGTTTCTATTGATGTATCATAAATTAGTAAGATATTTAAGTTAAGTTTAAATCAGTTAAAGTGCATATACTTTATGGATTTTCACTAGTCTAACTAGATTTAATTAAAATTAGTTTAGTACCACCATGCAATTTTTCTAATGTAGATCAGTTCTAAATATTTATAATTTAAAATCTAAATCTAAATAAATCTATATATTGTAAATATTTAAATCTGATCTACTTTAGAAAAGTTGCACCAGTGGTAATGAACTAATCTGAGAGCATATCAATGCAGGCTAACTATTTACTTTATAAATATTCTCTATAACTATATTTAACAGTTCATTAGGCTAAAGGAAATAAAAGATGAATGTATTTATATATATTAGGAACAACTGCAAGTAAGCAAGGAGAATTATTTTAAAACTCAGAAACACCATTTTCAGACCAAAATAAGGAACAACATACACACAGTAAACATGGCCCCATCAGCCTTCTATACCAGCGGGCACAGTGGTGGGGGAAGTTGAATCTCCTGAAGGAGTGCAGCAAAGGGCAAGCTCCCCCTGATTTCTGGGGCACTCAGGATAGAATTCTGCCCCAGCCTTGGGCTGGACTTTGTGGTAGTGCTGAGCCCTTGGTGAGCACACTACTTAGCACTTACCAGCGTGAGTAAGGTTTGCACAATCAGGTGCTCAGTGATTTATAGGTCCCAATACCCAGTCCCACCATAATTCCTTTAGCAGTAGGCTAAAGCAAACCTCCCACAAGCTGTGTCTCCAATCTTTTAGCCAGTTGAGCCCGCACAAGAACTGCATGTGGTGGTTTGCCTCAACAATCCTATAAAGTCATCTTTTAGAATCCCCCAGGTCTGCAGAGCTGAATTCTGTTATATACAGGTAAGAATGTCTTGAGGAACGTACAGAGACCACTGAAAATGACACACGTGAGGTAAATGGTGAGCACTAGAGCTGCTCAGGAAATTATCTTAATTTCCCCAAACTATTTTTGACCAAAACATTTTTTTTTATTTTTGTTGAATTGTTTGCAAATTGTTGGGGGTTGTCCAAAAACCAACAATTTTCCAGTTGAAAAATGAGAAAAACATGTTTCATTTTTTTTTGACAAAAACACAAACATTTTCTATTCATGAAAATTTCCATTTAATCAAAAAGCCATTTTTTTGTCTAAAAAAAAGTTTGACTAAAAATGTTATGACCAGTTCTAGGGTGTGCATGTTATTGCTAAAACTCTGATTCAACCAAGATTGTTAAGCACACAAGTAGTCCCATTGACTTCAGTGTGACTCCAGCCATTCTTAAAGCAAAGCACATGCTTAAGTGCTTTGCTGAGTCGGGGCCTGTGTTAGCTCTAATTTGTACTAGGAATAATAGTGATTGCACACTTGGTGGAACGCATAACATGGTTCACAGTATTTACATATGAACTGCACTTCTTTTTCTGATTAATTCTGGAGACACACCCTAGCAAAGCATGGGAAACAATATGTAATTGATCTGCTAGACAGAGTACTCTGAGCACATGCTTTTTTGGGGGTGAAACACAGACTGAGCCCTGAGAACAGATAATATGCATACTTTTCCTGAGCTACACAGAGCTCCTCTCATTGCACAATTTAGCCTATGAATAGGGAGCAAATTCCAGGACATTTTTCAATTCAGTGTTTATGTTGCCTCTTTAGCAAATGAGACTCAGATTTTTTAGAAAAAAAATTCTAAATGTTTATACAAAAACTGTAGGAGCCACTGGATTAAGTGATGGGCTCCCCCTGGGGAAAGCCCTGGGTGTATTAATTGTTGACATTATTTTCAACGATTGTACTTTGTGTTAAACAAAAGTGTCTGAAGTTCTTGAATTTCCTCATGGCCATCTTTACGTTTGCTTTCCACTATTCTAAATTTTAATTGTTATTAACCTTCCCTTTTGAGATTATACATTTTGTTCCCTATTTTATGAGCTGTAGTAGTCTGAGATCACAAAAGTAAGAAGTTATAAATTATTGAACTGTATATATGTGTATATCATTATTTATCATATCGCTATTATCAAATATATAACCCAAGAAAATATGAACTATCAGTTTGTCTGACCCTGCTTGAACTGAATTAAGGGAGTCAGAAAGTCAGATTTGAAATTTAAGAAGTGATCAGGGATACATTTAAAAAAAAAATCTGTTTTACATATAACAAACTGCTGTGAACTCATCTCAGATTGTGGATAAACAATTTCAATTGTACTGTGTTTTGCAAAGATCATTATGATATTTTAACAGAAATGAAATATCTATTTTTGCTCATCCCATAACTCTGATAAGTAAATGCAAAATTATTTTAATTATTGCAAAGATCATTATGATATTTTAACAGAAATGAAATATCTGTTTTTGCTCATCCCATAAATCTGATAAGTTAATGCAAATTATTTTAATTATATGTATTGAAACTCCATGTACACCTATGTCAGTATGTATATTATAAATAATAAATAATTGTTACCAGAGCTGGATGAATTATTTATTGAGGATCAATTATCTGGCAAATATAGCACTTTTCTCTGTTTGTGACTTGTTGAAGAGCAATCTTGTCTTCTCTGAACATATTCATTCTTGCAAATATGTATTGGATAATGAATAACTTTTACCCTAGGACTGTGAACTTCTCACATAGACTACTCGCTATTAGTTATTAGTGGTGTATGACCAGCCATCTGGTATTGTTTTTGCTCCCTGTTTGGATGACTGAAACTTTGTAAACAGGAGAATGACAAATGCTGAAAGTTGAACATTGAATAAAAAATCATTACTACTTCAGCTTGTACACAAATGCCTTTGTTGTGGCTATGAATACTGTTGTTTGTATTAAGAACAGCCACTGTGTGGGGGTGAAAGTGTGTGTGCAAATGTTTACAAACCATATATAGAAAGGGGCATAAACATAATAAAGTGAACATTCCCTTGGAATCGGAATGACTGTTCATGAACATAGTCGTTTTCTGCATTCAAGCAACTCTAATAATTATTATATATTTCTGATTAACCAGGCTGAGGTATACTTATTTTCTGGAAGTTCAGGGTACTGATATAAAGAAAACAAATACCAATCCTTGCTAAGTAGCACAGAGCAGTATTATATGTGTCACAAGCCAGCAAAAACATTTTATAATTTAGGGAACCCAAATCCTCCAGGGAGCGTCTTAAAGCCACATCATATGTCCTATTGCTAATGTTTACCAGCACCCTTAAATTATCAGAAATGGACCAAACTCTGCCTCTGACATACATGTGTGTCTCCCACTAATTTCAAGTGAAGCTGCATACACACACCCAAGAGCCAAATTTGGCCCAGTTAGGTCTATTTGTTCCTTATGCAGTGGACCAGATTAATTGCTTTATACTTCAACTCCAGAATGTCACAGGGACTAGAGAAAGGAAATACAATCCAGGTAGAGCTGCCAGTTCCCAGCATGTCAGGTAACCAAAACCATGAAAGCCACATTTTGCTGATGTTCTCTTTCATTGAAGATTAAGCCTTCATTTGTTTTCAAGCATTTGATGTTTCATTTCTAATGATCTCTAGACTCAGTACCAAAGTTGTCTTCCTGACAGCGAATGCCAAGTGTGATTACCTGCCATGCTGGAGATCCTCACCTCAATCCAGATTTATTCATGGAATCCAATCATTGCAGAGATAGACAAGCTAGACTCCCAACAGTCAAGGGCATTACAGCCAACCCTCTCTCTCCTCCTGGTTCTCTTCTGGTTTAAAATAAAGGCACAAAGGTAACACTAAATAAGGAAAATATGGTTTTCAGTAACAGAAACTGACAAAAAACAAAGATGACATGTTTATATAATTAGTTACACATCTAACTTTCTTTAGCTCATCTTCTTTTCATTATCCCATGATGACTTCACAGCACAAACAATATGTAACTGAAATATAGGTGAAGCAATTAGATCAATATTTTTTTCTAAAAAAACCCACTCTAGACCTTAGGTAACTCCTGCATCTTGGAGTCCCTCTGTGACTGCTTTCTGCTGTGAGAGCAATTCATTAAAAGTTAATTAAAAGGTGAAGTTCAATATGCAGTTTCCTTTAGCTAATCCTCCTAAGGCAGCTTTGGATGGCACTAATGTATCCATTTTTGTTGATGCTAGAAAACAAAAAGGCAAGATAGTCTAATTAAGAGGTTGGTGTTTACAAGAGAGAGGTTTTCTGATTGGCAAGGCTGAATCCAAATGAATCATAATGCTGTAGTTTTCCCTCAACCAAATTGCTCTCACTCGATCTTGACGCATTCCAAAATAAGAGCTTTCAGAATACAAAACTCGCTTCCTCTTTCTGTGTTGATACTTTACAGCCAGATCTCTGACAACCCTTACAAAAGGCCATGTCTACGCTACAGCAGCTCAGTTACAGCACGGCAGCTGTGGCGCTCTAGGGCCTTAGTGTAGATACAGTGGAATGGGGTTCTCTGACTGTCAGGTGACCGAAACAAGGGTGGTTTCATCTAGTGGTTGGAGCAGGCATCAGACCTAGTGGTGGGACCAAGCATCAAGAACTAAAGATTATGGTCAGAGCTGGAGTCAGTAGTCAGAAGCCGAAGCCAAGGTTTAAGCTGGAGGTCGGGAACTAGATACCAGAGCTGAGGCTCAGACTCAGAGTTAGAAGCCTGAGCCACAGGCCAAGCTGGAGGTCAGGTACTGGAGCAAGCGGGGTATCAGGCAAGGAGGGGTTCAAGGCAGGGGCAGGACAGAGGCAAGGTTGGGTGAAAGGCAGGAGCAGCAGGAACAAGGTAACGCAGGAGTAGGCACAGTGGTGGGCATGAGTGTTGAGCAGCCAGTGAGCTACTGCACCTTGTGGCTTAAGAGCCGGCCTACTCCAGCCAATCAGGTGAGGTAGCCAATCAGGCAGCCTGTCCTGATGAGCCTGCCTAGAAACTAACTCTGCTGCAAGCCCGGACTCCTGATACCATCACTGAGGTAATCCACATCTCCGAGAGGTGGTAACTAGGTCAATGGAAGAAATCTTCTGTGCTTGTCAGTAATAACTGAAGTTTAAAAAAAACCCACCGCTAGCCAAGACAGCTGTTTCCCTTTATACCTTTTCTTCCTTTCTCTGCTTCCTTCTTCCTTGTTTCAACTCGAATTATTGGCCAATGGTACCCAAAGAAAGAGGGGAGGGGAGATTTAGGACCCACTTCTGTGCAAGACCATGGAAGCCCCAAAAAGTCAGTTTGCACGATTGAGAATCTGCATTCATAGTATGCTGAATCAAGAGCAGTGTGGCTGGAAACAATTTACTGCCTGCTAAAAAAAGCTCTGGGTATGGAGTCAAGTATGGAGGCTAAAAGTAGGACAAGCCTTCCACAATTCTGGCTTGCAAAACACACCGAAAAAAACTCAGTTCACACAGAGGAACACCCAAGCCTTCCGGTTTGTTCCCAAAACTCAGACACTAGAACTACTACAATATAGCTGTGAGCTGGACTAGCATTCTGGGAATACTGATGTTAAGAGGGTCAGATGTGCTTGTGGGCGTGCTAAGTTCTTTTCTATTTTCTTTCCGAGCCAGATTGTGAAAGATTTTCCCTGTTGTGGCCTCCATATCTTAACTGAGAATGGATGCCACAAATCACGGGAATAATTAGTGACACTCTTAAGCGTCTAGTGTTGCACCCATTCATTTTCTTGGCACAAAATGTATTAGTTCTGCACTATTCATTTAGTTTGCATTTACCAAGAGATAAATTTCAGTTTGAAGCTGTACTGAAAGACAATATATACTGTATGTTTGAGAAAACCTATTTGCTTTTTCAAAAATTCATGAAATAATAAATGTGGAGTTAATTTATATGAAAAGCTAACTTTGGCTACTTAGTTACCGTTAAAATCTATTAACTAAATGGCCTGTGGTATCCTTTATGGGAATATCATCCTCACAGTTAAATTCTCGCAGAAAACACAGATCTAACATTACCTGTCTGGTCACATAATTTAGAGTATAGCTCTGTCCCTTACCATAAATGAGTAGCAAGAAAAAGCTCAAATGTTCCTATTTTTCCAACAGTTAAATGAGGTTTTTCAACTACGCCACAGGCTAGAAGATCTTAAGATTCTCTAGATTTCAGTTTTCCAGGCTTGGCAGCTCTTGCTATGCCTTCCCCGGTCCATCCCTATTCTGAAAAACTCCCTGCAATCCACCCCACCCCTGGGTTGGCCCCTTGGGAGCTTTCAGTCTGTGCATGTTCAGCTGCATCACTTTTAGCTTTCATATTTCAACAGAAGAGAAAAACAGTATCAGAAAAACCATCTGATGTATTTTAAATAGAGAATACAAGTAAAGGGTTATTTAGTAAGGGTACAGAGCCTTTCACATCTAGGACACTAGTTAAGTGCCAGCCCAGATCAGAAGCAACTGAAAGTTGCTACCATCTGATGGCTGTAAAGATTTTGTAAATTGAGTAGCCGTCTAAGCACAGTTCCCACATCACACAAAGCACCCCAACAAGTGACTCTGTATGTAGCTTCCTTGTTGCCAGCTTTTCAGCAAAGAGGACAGGCAGACATGTGCAGCGAGGAAAAGCAAGTAGGAGAAAAAAATTAATACAATTCTTTTCTCCTTTGCAGTAATTTGTTTTTGTCAGAAAGGTAAAAGGAAGGCAAGACCTGTGGAGAGAAAGGATGGTCCTATAGGAGCCTGGGATGTCGGAGATTGGGGTTGAATTGCCAACTGTGTCACCAAGAGTGGACCAAGCTATTTTGCTGATCAGGGTAGAAAACATTTGCAGTGCACCCACTTCACACACATACCCTGAGCAGCCAAGCAAATAAAAAAAGGCCAGCCAATCAGCAGAGCAAAAACAGCCAGTCAACCAGAGCAGAGGGGGAAAAAAGCCAAGCTATGTATAGTGCTCCCTGGAAGTTGGCACCCAGCGTAACCGCCCTGGTCACCTGTCACTAGAATCAGCCCTGTCTGTCAAAGGCTTCCTGTGTAACCTGGGGCAAATCACGTTTTTTGTGTGCCTCAGTTTTCTGTCTGTAAGTTAGGGATAATAGCACCTCATAGGGGTAGTGGCACTCACAGGGGTATTGTGAGTAGAGCTGTGCAAATAACAGGAGGGGTTGTTGTTGTGGGGGTTTTTTTGGTTTGCTGGCTGAACTGAAATTATTTTTAAAAAATTATTTCAGGTTGCCCCAAAACTATTTTTTAAAAGTTTTTTGGTGAACCCAAAGTTAAAAAGAAAGCATTTTGTGTCAAACAACATGTTTAATTCAACCCAAAATGTTTGTTTCATTTCTGAGTTTTTAAACCTTTATGTTAAATAAATTCAAAACAAAAAGTCATTCTGAATAAAAAAAATCAAGCAGTTCATTTAGAAAATGATAAAACAAAATGTTTCCGTTTTTCAGAATTGTTTTGTTTTGTCTTCAACTGAAACAATTTATTGAATTTGATTTGAATTCACAAACTCCTTTCAGTCAGCCCAAACCAGCATTTTTTGGCCAAAAAAAGGTTTGTCTGAGGCCAGGTGTACACTAGCACTTATATTGGCAAAACTTCTTTTGTTCAGGGGTGTGAAAGAAACAAACAGCCGAGCGACATACGTTTTGCTGGCATAAGCGCTTGTGTGCACAGCACTGTGTCAGCAGGAGACGCTCTGCCGCTGATATAGCGACTGCCGCTCATTGAGCTGGTGTTATTATATCGATGGGAGAGCGCTCTCCCCTCGGCATAACACGGCTACACGAGGGCTCTTACCGCAGCATTGGTACAGCTGTGCCGCTGTAAGCTTGTAAGTGTAG